ACTTCTTTTCCCATGACATTCAGAAAAAAGCAGGGCTCTCCTTGGGGGGGGGGGACTGGACATTCCTGTGGAGGAAGGCCAGGTAGAGGGTGTCGCAGGCACGTAGGTTACCATGGATGTTGTGTTGCTGAGCAACCTCTAGTTTGTGTCTCTAAGGCATCTGTGATCCAAAGAACTGAGCAGCTCTTTGTTAATTGAACCATCAACTGGAGTGGGCAGAGGTAGTGGCAGAGGTCGGGAGTCAAAGTCATTTGGTTCATATTCCCCCCATAATTCTCATGCGTGAGGCAGGCTTTTGTAGTTTGCTGCCTTATCTCTTTAGATAGAGGTATGGAAGATGACCTCTACCAGCTCCTTATTTAAGAGTGCTTTGCGCTTGTCCCCGATCTGATATTTTGTAATGTGTGGGACCCATATCACTGGGGCATAGAGATACTTTTGGCTGGTGTGTGCACGTGCGTCAAATCACCTTGAAGAAAGTTATGAGAAAGTTATATATCCTTGAATGCTTGTGCTGTTGAGAATAACCAAATCTTTAATGCTTTTTCAACATTTGTTAATCTTTTAAATGAAATGGAAACTGGTCTTAACCCTGAACCTTCAGCCATCTAGAATAGGGACTTAATAATGGTATTTGTTGACTTAGCAAATTTTGTTGTGGGGAAGGATTTTAGATTGACGATTGACAGGAAAGTTGCAAAGACAATCCAGACAGTTCTTGTCTGAGAATTGTTTGTCCTTCACCCTGTTTCCCACAATTTAGCATCTTATATAACCTTAACTATGATACAGGTGGCACCTGGTACAGGACTGTTGGTTAAAGCACATACTAACTTACCAGTTTCCCCACTCCTGTGTTCATGGTCCTGGAATCCAATGTAGGATCCGCCTTGCATTTAGTGTTAATTATTACCAGCATTGATTTCATTTTATATATTTTGATTACTTTCTATAGTAGCAAATGATCCCGGTTTTTTATTTATGGCAATGATGTCAATGATGCATCTCCTTTGAAAACACTAAGCCAAATAAAATGACATGCTTTTAAAAAAAGAAAAGAAAAACAAAACAAAATAAGGAGAAGAAAATCAAAAGTAAAAGTGGTATACATATGTGGTCAAACATTCCCAATTTCCTCTGGGTTGGCTTTGCTTGTAGGAAAAATCCTCCCACGAGGGAGAAGATGGTCACCAGTCAGAATTCTCTCCCCAGCCATTAGAATGGACATTTCCAGTAGAATGGTCAGTGGCTGCCTATGAAATGCTGACTACATTTTAATGACTGATGTTTTACCAAACATAAAACCCAGAGGTGACGGGTTCTGGAATCAGTCAACACCTCGAGGACGTCAGGGGGACCTGAGCTCCTCTCACCTTTCGGCATCCTCAGCACGACAGCTATTGTCCTTCACTGGACCATGCTGGGGCTCCAAGGTGGCGTCCTCAGCTCTAAGCCTCAGATCCTTCAGCCGTTGTGTGCAAAAACAGGAAGGAAGAAAGAAAAGGAGGCTTTCCCTTGAGCATTTGCCCAGGGGTTTCTCTCCCATGGTCAGAGAAAAAATATTTCCCAGAAACCCCCTTGCTGGGATCCCGTGACTGGGTCCCATGGCCACCCTTGGCTGCAAAGGAGTCTGGGAAAGCAAAGATCTGGACACGGGGATTGGTTAGACCCTGGCGGGTGGGTACAGGCCTGTTCTAAGCTCTGTGAAACTCCAGGAGAGTACAAAATGACTAATTAAATATATCCTAACCCCCTCCCTGAAAAATATACCTCAGAACCACCTGGAAGACTAGGCTTAAATTAAGACTCCTTCGATGATTGGCGGTACGGTGGCAGGGTGTGGCCCCCCTTCTTTCTCTCCCCATCCTCAGCTCCACGTGGGGTCTCACACACAGACATGCAGATGCTCCAGCCTCCAAACACTTGCCTCTTGGCCACTCCAGGACCCCTGGAGGAGAGTGAGTTAGGCCGCAGGTGGGCTTGGGGATGACTGCACAGGAATTTGGGGGTACCAGGTACCCAGAGCTCGGCTTTGCCATAACGAATGAATCGTTTTAAGCAAAGGCTGAAACACTTCCTCCGGCCATTTGAGAAGAGGTTCCAATCATGAATCAGGGCCACAAGGTGAGTTGAGAAAGTGGCTATGGGGGACGAGACAAGTAGGCTCCCACAGCCTTCTGTCCCAGACACCTGGTCAGCCAGGAAGCAACAGCCCAACTGGACAGCCCCTTTTCCTGTCTCTTCATTCTTCTAGGGCCTAGGTTTCAATAGCGACTCTGTTCTCATCCTTTCTGCAAGAGCGTTCTAGAACTCAGCCCCATCTCTCTGTCTCTGTCTTCCCCCTCCTGTCTTGACGTCCTATGATCTCAGTGCTCCAACATGCATGCTCTCCTGAATTCCCCCAGCAGCCCTGTGACATGCTCACTGGAACCTGCTTCACGGTGAAGAACGTGAGGCCCAGATGGGGCATCTGGTGAGTGGTGAGGCTGAACTTCAAGCCAAGCCGGGAGGAGGGAGACGCATGTGATGGAGCTGGAGTTTGTCTCCCGTGCCCTGGACTCCTCCCCATCCTTAGGACCTTGCCCGAGGACCTGAGCAGAGACGTACGCCTCCATCTGTGGACCTGCCCTGAAAGTCAGCTCTCCCCCACCATCAAGGCTGGGATCCTGCTGGTTGTCACGATGAACAGCCCCAAGAAACCATGCCCCCCAGGGCCAAGGATCGATGATGAAGGCAGTTCATTTGTCAGGACTCGGATTCCCATCGGCAGTATCTTGAATCCTCACGGAGGCCCCAGGAGGTGTCTGCTACCCTCTCCGCTTTATAGACCAGGGACAAAGGCTCTGAGGAAGTTCCTCAACTTCCTCCTCTCCCTGGGCCGGAGCTCACCTGGACTCTGGGCCACTTCTTTGGTTTCTTCCTCTCCTATCCTCTTGCAGCACTGCCCACTTCCTAGGCGGATACTGGCCTCTGGTGCCCTCTGTCCTCCAGGGGCCAGAAGATGGTTGGAACCAGCTGGGCTTTGAAGGGGGTACCCTGGTCGGGGACTTACCATGTGCAGGAAGTCTGGCAGGAGATTGGCTATTCTAGGGCCCTTCTGATCCTTGCAAGGTGAGGTCCAGGGCAGTAAAGTAGCTTGCTTAGGGCAAACATGGGGCAGGTGGGGTGTCAGGCCTGGGACTTCAATGTTCCTGCCAGCTGGCTCCCTGCCAGGGAGGTGGGTGCCTGCTGTAAATGTGTACAGGAGGGCTGTCCTCCTTTTATCAATCTCCTTCCTTTTCGTTAGCACAGACAACAGATTCTGGAATTCTCTAGCCTCTCTGAGCGTCTGGCACCAGGAAATTGGAGGTTCCTGAGTTCTCCATGGAATCAGTCTCTCCGAAGCTCTCAAGCGGGGTCCGGGATCTTAGTTGTTCTGGAGCTTCCTACAAAGGAGACCGTGCAACGAGGCAGAAAGAGCTCTGGTACTGACTGTGTAACCTTAGGGAGGGGAATTGCCCTCTCCGATCCTCAGAGTGCGATAATGATGACCCCTATTCATAAGCTCTGGTGGAGGTTTTGTTGCTGCGCCCCTCCCCTGACTCAGGCAATGGCAAGGCCCTACTGAGGTGGATGGCGCAAGGCGTCCATCCTCTGGAGGAGCACAGTATGTTTCTGGGAATGGGCTGGTTTGTTTCTGTATTCCTTTAATAAGTATAGTTGCGGCTTCTCATAGGACCATTAAGTATGCAGGAAAAATCATGACTTTCCCAATTAATGCAACTACTTCTAAAGAATAAATCTGTTTGCTCTAAATGCAATGATTCAGCTGTGGAACGTAAACTGTTAATGTTTAATGAAAAACTCCCTGTATTCCTGTCAAGGAAGTTTTTGAGAAATTAAATTAAAATCTAGAGAAGAAGAATTAATGTTAAGAAGACAGATTAGTGCTTAGTACTGGGCAACTTGTTCTTGTTCCTGTGCACAATGGTTTGTGCTCTTACTCTTGTTTGATTAAAATTAATAGCCTCTTTTTTCAAGTTAACCACTTGCCATAACCATGGCACCGGTTCTAGACAGTAAGTCAAGAAAGAATAGTCAAGGTATAGGCCAATAGTCTGGGACATTTCTAACTATTATTAAAAGTTAACTAAGCAGAAACAGCTCAAAGCAAAACGTGAACTGAAAGGAAAAATGCTTGCTTATGCATAAGCCAAAATACATTCTTCTATTCTAATTGTAGCTACGTAATACTTTGTTTCTTTGAATAATGATTCCTGTTTTGTAACCACAAAGTACCTATGAGCCTGCCAAAATGAAAAGTATATATGATTAATTTCACAAGTAAGGATTGGGATTCAGCACCTTCACTTTGGTGTCTGTGTTGTTTCTTCACCCCCCTTTCGCCTAATCTCACCATCCGTTCATCTCCTGAGACCCCCTGTTGGAGCTGGACTCCGACATTTTGTCTTGGTGAAGGACTCAAGAACTGGAGAGAACAGGAGTGGAGGATGAGTGGGGAGAGATGTTCTTTCCCTGTCCAACTGGCTGCCATCCCAAACTGCACATGCCCAAGGCCAGCTTGGGAGGTGGTCTGGTCATCTACTTATCCTTTGGAGACAGGGTGTTCTCAGCCCACGTGGCCCAGCTTACAAGCGTGGGTCCACCTGGGCCCACACACTCTTCCTTGGTACCTGAAGTTGCCTAGCAAGTACCTTATAAGAAAACATTTAACATTTTGAAGAACTAAAGAATAATGGATTGCATACACACATCTAGACTTCTCTTTGCATGTGTCCACAGGGAATATGACCCATGTCTGATGTTCTGGGGCCCAGTGGGGTTCTCTGCTCTTGAGATTTCCAGGACTTTTAGTAATAATTCAGACCAACTAGCTCAGTTAGGGGAAAAGGAAGCTCGGAGAATAAAAGCCCTTGCTCAGCAGCACATGAGCATGGAGCCAGGCTCAGCCCCCCCCCCCCCCCCACTCCTGACACCATGAACTGTGCTCAGCTGGGGACTCTCATCCTTCCAGGAGGAAAGAGACAGGAAAAGATGGTGCACGGTGCCTGGAGAGCCCCTCTGAGTTTCCAAGTCTGTTCCCAATTATGTGGCCTTTGGAAGAAAATAATGTGTCGCCTCCGCTGTCTGTTCCCCTGCACTCCCAAGTCCAGCCCTAGCTGGGTCCCGATGGACCCCCACGGGAGGTCCTTCCCTCCAGCAGATGCCTTCTCTCTGTGGAGCAGCAAAAGTGGTCACAAAGAAGACACTGTGACTCTCAGGGCGAGGCTGGGTTATTGGTGGGGACCGTTGTGTTTATGAGGCCTCTTATCTTTATGACAGAGCTCAAACAGGGACACGAGATGCATTAACAAATACAACACCGTCCATAAAGACTGCGTTCTGCAGTGAGGGACTGCGCATCCGAAGGGCAGCTGCACTCGCTGTGCAGGTGCACAGGGACAATCCTGTAGTCCCAAGGTTCTCCCTTAAGTCGGGGGCTGATGAGTCAGAGCAGAGAGTCCCTGTGTCGATGCTGAGAGCAGTGCCCAGTCCCCTGCCTCTCCTGCCTCCCCAGATCTTGCTTGCTAAACACGGACCCCTGCAGCCTCAAAAGCAGCATCCTTCCCTGCAGCATCCCTCCCTGGGGCCGACTCAGTGGGAGATCCCAACAACAGAGCCTTCCGTGAGTGGGGATGGGCGCAATGACATTGGAGGAAGATAGAAGGGTCTTGTGGAAGAGTCAGGAATGTGCGCAGACTGCCCCCCAAACAAAGCACCAGACAAACCAAGAAAATAAAACCAGCCACATCAACTGCAAAAAAAAAAAAAAAAAGTCGTGGTTCTGTTTGTTCTGCACTGAGGTCAACACTGCAGTACTTTCATCAAGTGACACAGGAAACCAGGCGCCATGGAATAAGAGCTACGGGAAGCTCCGCTTTGTGGCATCCAAGCAGTTGGTGCCTCCTCCCCACCCGCCAACAGTTTAGCCACGCTACACCAAGGGCAGGGGTGAGCCCACTGTCCCAGCACAGAGTTCTTGACCCGAGTCGGCCATCCTAGCTTTGACATGCAAGTCCGGCTGGCAGTCATCTCCCAGGGTTCATAGCCTCTTACCCTGCTGGCAGTGAACGTCAGGGGGCCCAAGAGGCAGAGGGGCTGCCAGGGCTGCCAGGGCCCGGGCCTCTCAGGCGATGGAAGCAATCTGGCTATGTTTCCGCTCTCTGCAGAGGAGAGTCCTGGGGCAGGGCCAGTGGCTGCCCTGGCTGTGGGGGTAACAGCAGAACAGGGTGGACATCAGCAAGGCCAGGGCCATAATGATGGCCAGCACCCACCGGATGACGCCTGGGTAGATGAAGGGCAGGATGAGGATGATGAGCAGGACCAGCAGGAGCAGGTGCACTGCCAGGCGTCGGGCCGCCACGCGATTGGCACTGGCCGTGTCTTGCTCGTCCTCTCCTGCCAAGCTGGGGTGATGCCCTGCCTCTGAAGTTGTGGCACCCGCCAGCCCCTGGGGACAGAGCCGCACTTCCAGGCATGGCTGGGCCAACCGCCCCACCACCGTCTCCTGGTCACGCAGGCTGCAGATGAGACCTCCAGGGACAGTGGTGGGCTTTCGACACAGAGGGCAGGTGACCACCCAGCTGTCGTCCTGCACGCACAGCAGGAGCTTCAGGCACACGGCACAGAAGGTGTGCTGGCAGCTCAGCACCTTGGGGCACCGGGCGCAGCTGTAGGGCTCCCGACACACCAGGCACTCCAGGTCGCCTTCTGTGGAGCCACGGTGACATCCAGTGGACCCCGAAGTCACGGTGGCGGTGGCAGTAGCTCCTGCGGAGATGGGTGGCGGCTGTTGCTGGGCTTCCATGCAGGACATCGTGGGCACAGAGCCGGTGGCAAATGCCTGCTGGGCACCTGGGCATCGACGGGAAGTGTCAGCCAGCGCCTCCCCGACTTGGGTGGATCCTGACCCTGTGCCGGATGCCTCCAGCCTCCCCGGCCTGTGACAGCAGCTGTGTCCCTTTTCTCCCAGGACTGCCCGGCTTGTTTCCGGCTGTTCAGTGTCCCCTCTGTTATTATTATTTCTTTACTCGAAGGGTTAATCAGTAACTCGTGGGCCTGGAGACTTTGAATTGCCTGATAGGAAGGCCAAAAGGGGCAGGACCTAATGAATCAGGACTTTCCTGTTGGGGCCAGGTGGCTGGTGAGTGCCTACATGACCGTGTGGCTGGTAAGCTTTGGGATGCATCAGCAACCCCCTTCAATCCCTCTCTCAACCCTTTAAAATACAGATGCCTAAGCCTCAGACCCAGAGATGAAGATTTGGCAGGTCGGGATGGGCACCTAAAAGTCCACACTGTGAGCCAATGTCTGATGTGGGTGGCTGGGGAACCCCACTTTGAGAAATGCTGCGGTGAATCGCTGGGGACAAAGCCGCACTTCCAGGCCTGGATGGGCCAACCGCCCCACCCCCGTCTCCTGGTCACGCAGGCTGCAGATGAGACCTCCAGGGACTGGGCTGCCATGGACCTTTTGGGTGTCAGGATCAGTGGGAAGAAGTTTATGCTCTGAGCCCATTTGCAATCAGTTGGCCTTGTTAAAAGAAAGAAAGAAAGAAGTGGTAAGAAAGAAAACCAAACCAGGCCCCGCCCCCACGTGCTCACACTCAGTTCCCTTTGGGCCCTTAGAGTCACAACAACTGTTATCAACGGTTACTGATTCCTGAGCATCTCATTGGTGCCTTCCAGGCACAAGCACCTAATAATAGGTGTCATTAGTCTTGTGCATGGCCTTCAGGCCTGAACCCAACTGTCACAAGCGCACCTGCCCTTTATTTGAGCCTGCTCCGGGCCAACCCTGTGCCCTGGGTCCTCTGTGCTCTCGGATCCTGACCCCATAAGGAAGGCCTGGAAGCAGGGGCAGGGTGTGGTCAGGGTAGGCCTGCTGGACGTCTGCCAAGGGGCCTTCCACAGGGGCAGGACCTACGAGCGTCCAAGGTATGGTCCCCAGTCTCATGGAACTAACCCCATGGATTCACGCAGGTGCAATTGGCCTCGGGGCAGCTGACTCAAGCTGACAGGCCTCACGTGGGCTGGCAGATAGAAGCAGCATGCAATTAGGAAAATGTGACTCCTTTTCCTTGCCCTGGATGCCAGAAGGGTGGGGTGGCACACCCTCTCCCTCAGCATGCAGGCTGCACTGAATCCAGAAAGATGTGCCGAGTGGTCCCTTGCTGCTTATGTCACCTAGCACTGGTCACATGGTGTCCACCGCTTCTGATTCAGCCCTTCCCTTTACCCCAAGGGGCACGCACTGCAGCGCTGTGTGCCAGAGCCCAGGTGGGCGAGGGCTCCTCTTGCTCCCCTCCCCGTCCGGGCCCTCTGTCTCTGAAATCCCACCCTCCATCATCCCATCCCGCTTCTCCTCAGCCTTCAGCTCCACAGTCAGTTACTCCTAACATTTTCCCCCACCTGAAGGGGGTCTTGGATGTAGCCCTGGGCATCTGTGCCCAGCATTCATTTTCCACTTTGGTGGCAACAGTGGCCCTTTTCACCTCAGGCAATCACCGCTCCCCCACCACCCTCCAGATGTGACTCCACTAGGGCCGGTGCCCTCCTCCACCTCTGCAGGGGCTGCTGTGATGGGATTCAGGCCAGCCAATCAGCAGAATCCCTCCTGCTGGCTGCAGCCATTGGTTCAGGCACAGACATGTGAGCTAAGCCCAGCCAATGAGATTCAATTCTGGGACTTCTGTTGGAACTTTGGGGGAAGATTGCTTTTCTACTGGGGTTTCCAAGCTTGAGGGAGGAACCCAAGAACTTCTGGGAGCGCTGTGTGCACAGACTCAGTCCAAGATTAAGGTCAGGGCCAAAGAAAGATGAGAGAAGAGTCAGACAAAGGCCAATGACATTATTTGAACAGTTGGAACCAGCCATGTCCAGAGCCAGCTAGCTACCTTTGGATTTTTCAATTATGTGAACTCAAAATCGACTCCAATGTTTGTGTGTGTGTGTGTGTGTGTGTGTGTGAGAGAGAGAGAGAGAGAGAGAGAGAGAGAGAGAGAGAGAGAGATGGGCTGGGGACTGAACCCAGGGCCTTGCACCTAACAGACAAGTGTCCTGCCCTTAGAGCTAGACTCTTAGCCCCAATTTTTATGTTTAAGTCAGTTCAAATTGTATTTCTGTTCTTTAGGAATAAAAGACTTCTGAGCAACACAACGGTACCTGAAGAAAAGAAAACTTTACTTGCCCTCAGACAGGGTCAAGTATTGACAGGACAATCAGACTTTGTGCACAGCCAAGAGTGACCTGAGACCTACTGTGCCACAAGAGACCATATTATTCCCCTGCTTTAACTTGTATTATATAATGTTCTTTTAGTTTTCTAGACCCTCAGAAGGGTTGGGGATGGGGGCCACATTGATCGATAATGAAAAATTGGAAATCAGGTGAACAATAGCTAGATGTCAGCTTGGCTAGTATCCCCCCACCCCTCTCTCCTAGCCAGTCAACAGGAAGCCACATCATCAAAAGGTAGATGGAGGGGGTGGAGATCAAACCAAGGGAAGTCATCTGGGGTTAGCATCTGAAGAGCACCTTCCGAAGTTAACCTCCATCAAGTAAACATATTGGTTGCTACGCCCCAAATATCACAGAAATATACAAGGTAGAACTTGAAAGTCCTTTTTACCACTACTGCTGTGAAATGATCTGTTAACAGCATGTTCCTTCATGTTCTCCTCCTACCATCCTGGCTTGGGAACAACTTTGTTTTTAAAGGCGCCTTGCCTAGTTATTATCCATACCAACTTTATTGTTGGAAATCTGGCTCCCGTCACTTTACTAACCACATGATCTTGGGCCAGAATTTCAACTGCAAGGAAGCTCAGTTTTTTAATTTGATAAGAGACAGATAATAACACTTCAAGGAAATTATGGAAGGTTATCTAACCTCCCTTAACCCTACTAATACCTGCTCAGTAATTTATGCCCCCGTAGGTTGTAACTGACCTGAGTGTAATCGATCTTTCCTGGGAATGTGATAAGAAGCTTTGGTGATGGCTTAGCCAGGGCTTCTTAAAGATAAGTGATGTGGGCGGGCTCTGGGCATACCTAAAGCAGATCCAGCCCAGGGAAAGGACAAAATGACTCTTGGAGACTGAAGCTGTCGCATGCACCCAGGTTTCACATTCTACTCTGTTACATTTGTGCTTGCTGTGATATTTGAGACCTGAAACATATGCATCCTTCCACATCTCCAAACAGAACATATTTGTTTATTTTAATTGCTGTGCAAATATGAACTCATTTTGTTTTCAGTAAAACTAATGTTTTTCCCCTTGAAACGCAGTTTCTTTTATCCTGAGTCTTCTCACAGCCTGAAGTGGGGTGGAATTTCACACCTAGCTGCAAGTGCAGAAGTTGAGAGGGGTGGATCTCCTCAGAAGTCACAGGCGCAGGTAACCGCAGACCCTCTCCCTGCCCAAGACATTTCTGATCTGAGCTTCAGGTCCTGCGTTGAATTCATTGGCAAAGAGTCAGACAGCAGCAGTGTCATGAGATTAAACTGTCTGACCCATTCCCTGCGTCTGTGGTCTGCCCTCGCCCTATGCTCGGTTGGCTGCAGAGAGCTGGTGCTCTGCCAAACGCCCATTGCCTGCCAGCTCCCCGCTCCTCTGTACCGGGAGCTCATGTTGCTAACTGAAAAGCCTCTGTGCTCCTCCAAAGTCAGCCACAGTTGAAAATCCTCCTTAACTTTGTTGAATCCCGATTTTGTCTTTAATTTATTTGCCTGTGGAGCCCCTCCCTGCTTTTAATGGTGGTGCTGGAGGTTGAACCCAGGGCCTTGCACATGCTAAGCATGTGCTCTGTGACTGAGCTACACCCCCAGCCCTTGAGCCTTTTCCTTTACAACACTCAGTGACACTGTGTGTGTCACTGGGGTTCTGAGAGACATGGTTTGGGAAATGCTGTTGAGAGAGCTAAGCCATTAAGAAGTTGCATTTGATTCTTCTTTCTAACGGCTCTCATTGAGTGGTATTCTGGAGTTGTTCTGGTATTCTTCAAAGGATACTAAAAAAAAGAAAAGGGGGTTTTAAAACCTGTTATTACATTTCAATTCAGAGATGTGGCCAGGAACACTATACATGACAGTACTCAGCATCACCTGTGTAGTGATAGTTTTCTGTAGGGTCTGAGGGTAGGAAAAAGCTTTTTGCTTCCTTGGATGGCAGATTATGTCTGTCCGCACTCCTCAGATATTGTGGATTATATAATTGACTATTTTCCATCTTCTCTTTGGCCAACAGGAAGCCCAACCATAGCAACTGTGAAACACCACATTTGGTATGTGCCAATGCATTCCACCCCCCTCCCCTTAGTCCATGCCTCCAATTCTAGTTTGTGGTTTACCTGGAACTGACGTCCAATATTTGACTTTTTATTTATATTTTAAATAATTCCAATTGTGGAAAGAGGAAAGGAAGAAGAAAGAAAAGTAGCGGGGGAGTTGGCCCACACAGGGCAGAAGGCAGAGGTGATGGGGAGAGTGTGGGCGTGTCCTGTGGCTTTTTCAAGATTAAATCCTGGGCTTCCGCCTCTTTCCACTCAAGCTGCCCTGGATACGGAAGCTTGCAGATGACATATGCCCATCTGAGGACATTTCTCCCTCTTCTCTGTCACCACCTTCCAGGGAGCATGGGTCTGGATCTGGACCGCTGGACCATGTGAATATGATCCTCCCCAGCATTGCCTAGGACCCATGCAGCTTTTCTCCAGGGTGATCAGCTTCAGGTCAGGAGGCTGCCAAACCGGCCTCTCTTTGCTCCCCAGATGTCCAGCCCTGGCCTTTACGGAGCCCCTTGGAAGGAAAACATTGGACTAGAAATAATTGAAGTTCCTGAGCACATGGGCTTTGAGTGGAGGGTGGGAGGCGGTCTTTGAGTTGACCACTAGGTTGATTGAATCGATAACATGGAAACCACCCAACAGGACTTGGAACTCCTCAGTCGCGATCCATTTTCTATATAATTTGGGGTCAATTAGGGGTCCTGGGA